AAAATCCTTAATTCAAGGTATCCGGAAACATACATTACAAACTTAACAGTGCACTAATAACATACACATACACAGTGCGAGTTACACCATTGAAGAAACAGCATATCGATTGATTGAACTTATGCTTGAGCTTCTTTCGCTGCAGTTCCCACTTTTGAACCACTTTCCAACGTTGATACAGCTCCAGGAATACCAAACAAGCCTCAAACAAGTCACTTTACGAGCAGTTGGCCGTGAGCGACGCTTCGAAATCGGACTATCGGCGAGCAGCGACTCGAGTCGTTTGAGCCCGCGGTTAAAATTACCAAAAAATCAGCGTTTTAAATGTAAAATTTATATTTATATAAAGTTTCATCACAAGGTATGAGTGAGTATCGGTGGCCTTACGGTAAAAAGCAAGGAGATCCGTGAGATTTTCAGGATGGCGACGAAGGTGGTTCAAATCCGCCGTTTTCAAGTAAAGACGCCTTTAGCTTAATTTCCTTCTATGTTTTCTTTTTTTTCTTTTTCGGACACAATAATCATTTTCCTGGATGTATACATTTAAAAATAGAAGTATTGATGCCATAAATGAAATATACGCTGCAAGAGATAAAAGTGTATTTGGAGATTGGGCAAACTTTAATTAATTCACAAATGAAAAACGTATACTTTTTTACTCTTTCAAGATTATCATTGGCTTCTTTTTCTCCCCAACAGTATTGTTAGCAACAAAGGTCGCCATTTCGTTTGTTTATCACTCGCCAAAAACTATCAAATGCATTAAAAAGCCTAAAATCGAAAAAAAGTTTACAGGAATCGACCAATCCAGCGAGCGAGCGAGCGCCATTGGTCGATTCATCATACCTACAACGACCAAAATTGATTGATGGCGACCAATGGCGAGCGCCATTGGTCGCCATCATACCTACAACTCGTTCTTGCGCACGCGCAATTCACTAGTTAAAAAGGAGCCAAGATATGGTGCAATTTCTGGGCTTCATTGTTTCAAAGGCAATAGTATTGCGATTTGTACCATGGATCAAATATGACACTTAACAAAGCCTTTTTGCCACATCTATGTAACAGATTTTAAGTTATAACATAACCAAAGTAAAGCGCGCGCTCTGATTGGTCAGTTCAGTGTCTACCATTTGCCCATGGGTGTACACTGCTGACGTGAGGAAATGCAAAGACTAGTTTCGGCGCGCTTGTTTCTTCTGGTCACGCAAGATTTCGGCGTTAAATGAAAGAGAAATTTTTTGCTACAATGTATCAATTGAGCTATGGATGCACTTGGGGGGGTTTGCTCAGCACTTAAGAAGCTAGAGTCGCTCTCGGCTATCGCCTCGCGCGACTCTTACGCTTCTTTCGTGCTTAGCAACCACCCGCGTGTATCCATAACTCAATAGTATACGGTACGGCGTTTGAAGGTTTTTAATCCACAACGTTTTCTACTTGAGCTCGTTAGAAATGAGACAGCAACATGTATAGCCAACCGGAAGCACGACTTTCGACTGTCTCATGTCAAAACGCGCTCATACAATAATAGTTGGAAAAGAAACCATCTTCAAACAAAAAGTCGAGCCAGGGTATCCATGAACTGATGTTCATGAGCAAACTACACTGTACCTTGAGAGTGTTACTGAACCATCCAGGAACTTTTCCAGTCTTGATAGCTCAGGCTGTAGAAAAGTGTCCAACAGCTCCTTCGCCAAAAGCTTTTCTTCCTCTGTGGGTATGTGCCACTGGATGTTTAAATTTGACATATCTCCAGGCTTTCCCCAGTCCTAGCCATGTTGAACAATATAGGTGATTGTCAATATCCATATTATCTAATAGTGAGTTATTGGGGGAGGTGGCGGCTCACGGTTAGCGCGCAGAAAAATTTGTTTTTGGATCACTTTCTTGAGGAGCTTAGAAACCAGGCCCAGTTTTGTAACCAAGCCTCCTTTGCTAGCGCGCAGAGCTTCGAGTCAAAAGGTCTAGCTTCAAGAATGGTCGGGTCATTGCGTTGCGTTTTTGGCAAGACACTTTACTCTCACAAATTCCCTCTCCACTCAGGAATATAACAGGTACAGGCGACCTTTCAGGAAAGCCCGACGAAATGCTAAAGGGTAACTTGTGATAGACAACAATTCCATGCATGCTTTATGCCGAGGAAACCGGATAAACTCCACGTAGAAGGGCCACTTGGCCTTACCATTTTCGAGCAAGATTTTTTACAGTGTACCACAACGGCAAAATCGTTCTCCTGATGATTTCACATTTTGTACAATCTTAAAAAAAAAACAAAAAAAATGGAAAAAAAAACCCTAACTGATTACTAAAGCAGACATGCTAACTTTAGTGTTGGTGAATGTCATGCTTAACCACTGAAAAAAGTGCTTGTGCAGCTGCAGGAAAATTCCACTTTACGTAACATTTACCTACATCTTTTTTCACAGTGCACAGAGTGTGTGCTAGTAAACTATTTTATCTTCTCCTGAGTCAGAGAAGTTCCAAATCTCAGGTAAATTGACAGTACTCTTTTGTTAATACTAAAGAAGAACGAAACACTCACCCTAATAAAAAGATGTTCTGCTGGCGGTGTGCCAAAGTCAACCAAAACGCTTCTCCACTCCAAAGGGTATATCTTAGCCAGTGGCCGTAATACGTGCTCCAGAAGCTACAAGAAATGTCACAATTACTAACAATCGACACTGTTCTGTTACGCAAAAACTTGGAAAACCATAAGAAATCAATTGAAGTCATTAAACTTGATGATCATGTAAAATCCACTCACTGTTGCTCCTAAAGTGGCTGCTTCTTTGCACTTGAGATGAATCGTAGACTTAATTGCGGTAATCAGTTTGTCTTTGTACTCTAGAGTTCCGCTGCAGCGAACGACCTGAAAAAGTGCATGAAAAGATGACATACTACAGTACTTAATACATATATTTTAACGCATCACGCAAATACAAAACCAAAACAAAATAAAAACACATGCAAAACAATATTGCATTTAAACGAACAGTCAACACGACTTCTTCCAGCGGAGAAGGCGCGTTGTACGATCAAAGGTATGAGTGAGTATCGGTGGCCTTACGGTAAAA